CTCTCTCTCTCTCTCTCTCTCTCTCTCTCTCTCTCTCTCTCTCTCTCTCTCTCTCTCTGTGTGTGTGTTGTCCTTTCCTTGAATAAGGAAGTAACTCCTATTGGGTTAGCAATGCACCTCTACCTTGTCATTTAAGCTTAATTACTTCGAAAGTCTCCAGATAGTCACACTGGGAGGCGGGCGGGCTTTATCCTGTTAATTTCGAGAGACACAGTTCAGTCTTTAACATCACTATAATCAGACATGCTCATACTTAGCTTTGCTAGCTAAATGACTTCAGACAAGTTATTTAATTCTCTCATCTTTAGCTTACTATGCTATAAAGAGATAGCAAGCCAGGTGTGGTGGCGCACGCCTGTAACCCCAGCACTCCGGAAGCTAAGGCAGGAGGATCCCCACAAGTTTAAGGCCATCCTGGCCTACATAATGAGAGCCTGTCTCAAAAAAAAAAAAGAGATATCAAAACTGAAATTGGAGGCAATGATGTGAAAATTAAATTAAACAAACTATAGTAGCCAAGAACTGTAGCCTAGAATATACTGGATACAGTCATAATTTTGGGGGTTAATTTGCAACAAAATTATAATGACGTCCTTCAGCCTTTTCTTTCCCAGTCTACTTAGGTTTCTGTCCCATTTTTTTTTTTTTTCAAACCAGATGCATGTGTGGTATTTTTGTGTGTTTACTCACTGTTTCAACTCTGCCTCTTGCTTCTTCTATGCCAGGTTCTGGGCCAAGTCACACAGGTGACAGTCTAGATGGGAGTCTGACATTCAGTCAGCAAACACACCGATCCCAAGCCACGACAAGTCAACTGAGGAGCAAGTTTTTAAAAGGTCAGTTTATTGTGGCTCAGAGGACGTTATTATGGTGGAGCAGGGGACAGAGAAAGTTTTGGGGGACCAGAAGTGAACTGAGGCCTAATTGGCCTACTTTGTGAGCACAAAGGAGAAAGGCAACATGCAGGGTGAGGGTACATTGCAGCTTCCAGAGCAGAGCTCACAGGGATGAGATTAAAGTGTTTACCTGAGTGTGCACTAACGGATAATATGAATCTTGGGTTGCTTTGGTTGCTTGTGCCCATATTTCAGTGAATAAAAACAGGATGACCCAGAGGCTTGGGGCTCTTCTGTGTCCGGGAGGCAAGAGATCCCCGGCTCCCTGCATATTAAACTGACTCCGTGTCCCTTTGTCACGCATCCTTGTTCACCTCCAGGGAAGGGGACACAGTAGTAGCAGGACTAGGTTCCTGGAAGTGGCACGGGGGCTGGGCTCGCTTGGAGAAGTGGGCACGGACCTGGGACCGCCGGCGAAGCTCAGCTGGTTTGCTAGGGAAAGTCTCACTTTTATTCGTCCTTGTTTTTTGCTCCCTAGAATTTCCTAACGCCTTTACAGCCAACCACTTTCAAGAAATGTGAAACCATAATTTATGTTGAAATATGTCACGTGTAGGTTAAAATACATAAACTAAAATATATTAAAGTCCAGGATCTTTTTAACACATAAATCTAAACTAAAGCAACAGAGTCTTTTTGCTGGACACTGGTCATTTACAAAGAAACCAGGCTTTCAAAGAGATTGTTACTCCATGATTTACATAAAGAAAGACCGAGCAGAAAATAAGTGAGGTGTATTCAGGCTTTGCTTTACTACCCTTTACAGGCAGTGTGTTTTTACACACTACAGTTTTGTGACGACTTTTCAGTGGGTAAATCTATTGACGTCATTTTAACAATAGCTCAGGTGCTCCTTACCTCTTTGCAGCAATAAAGTATTTTTCAATTAAAGTATAAATGTTGTTTTTTAGACATAATGAAATTGCACACTTGATAAACATGCTATGGTGCAAACAAAACTTTGTAGAAGCAACATTCACGTGACTTCTTACAGCGCAGTATTTTCTTTGTTGCCGCGACTGGAGCTAAACCCACTAAATCTCCGAGATATGCCCATACTTACTGAAAGAGTCTTACTGACAGCAAAAACCACAGCAACCTAATAATGCAATGATATAACGACCAACAGTACAAATGTTTCAATCACACAGTTAATTTTAATTTCTAAAATTTTGTGTTCATTACAGAAGTGTTTCTCTGGAAGTGATCAATGTAATATTTATTTACTAAGACTATTTTCTAATATCCATACAAATATTCTTTGTACTGTTATGTGCTACCTAATTAATAGACCAGTAGAAGACCTAATCCAAAAGAAGCCCGAAGTAAAGATAGTAGAATGTTAACAAAGAGAGAGGGAAGGAAAGAGGGAAAATATCACTTAAAAAAGGTATAATTCTAATGGCCCGTCAGTATGATAAGGCTATTTCAACTGCTTAGTTATCCTATGGTAACCATGCTTATTGATGAAGAGAGAGCTAATCACAGAAATACATAATTCTACAGATGATATTTTTCTGTTTTTTTCCACTCAGCTTTAAATCTGTAACAAATCTTGGATAGTTTGAGGAGTTGGGGTGTTGTCAATTATTTAGTATGGCCCCTCTCAGTTTACAGCTGAACATACTGAGTTGTACAGACATGCATACCCTCTATCATAGCAGGAAGACCTTTATATACAAGAGTAAATTTCATGTGTGGCAAGGCTGTATCTTAAAAGAATGTTTCTGAGTTCAAAGAATATTACTAATAATTGTAGTTTGCACTTTCCAATTATTTCCATACTAATACTTCTATCACACTCACAGAATTTTTAAAATTACAAATAGGAAAGATTTGTATGATCAGATCTTTGTAGTCTATTCTCTGACTTTACTAGATTATTATAAAAAGATATGTATTTTCTTGGTAGTCTAATTGAAATTGAAAAACCAAAACATGTTTGAATATCTATAATCATAAAATTTTGAATATTATATTATACAAACCATTTTATCCCCTGCTCTTTTCACATAGTTCTTTTCAGTGAATACCTTGTGCTTCTTCTTCTTCTTTTTTCTTTTTTTTAGTACTGAGAATCAAACTCAGGACGTCTCACTTGCCAGGCATACAAACGCTGTATCCGCAGCCCCTGTGTTTCATTTTTACAAATGATTTTATTAGTATTCAATAACTGGGTGATAATTTCAACCAGAATCCTAAATTAGAACTAAGCATTGTTTACTATAATAAATAACTGTGTGAGTATTTTTGAATTTAAACATAGTGAATATTCTTGATGGATTTCTCAGTGTCTGAATAGGTCTGATGTATGGATGTGGGCATTCACTACTACCTTTCTTAATTAATAATTTTCCTTATGAAGTGTACACTAACATTTATCTAATACTAAGCAAGTAGCATTCCTCTACATAGCAATATTCACTCAATTAACAAGATGGAAGTCACACATTAAATTTTCTCTGTTTGTGAAACTACTTAATCAAATTGTGTGAAATATTCAATTAAAACCTTAAATATAGCATATCTATACTCATAAATGCTTTAAATATCATGAGGAAAAAAATCACAAAAAAACTATTAGATTGTTCCAAACTTGCTACTGTTATAGATTTAAACTTTTTTGAATTATTTCACTTCTTTGTATTGACTTCTGGTTTTTACGTTTCCTGGGGTTGCCTTTCTAAGAAAGTTCTGCCAGTTTCAAAAGAAAGGAGCAAAAAGTAACACCATATCTGATTGGCTGAACTGCAGAATCTGGATGCCAACTGACTGCTTCTTGGCTAAGAGAGGGAGCAACTTGACTGCAGTCTGCAGAGTCACATCTGTCTTAGTTCTACAATAGCACCTCTGCTTTCAGTCCTAGAGATTGAACTCAGGGCCTGACCCAGGCTAGCTAATGCTCTAGTGCTGAGCTCCACCCCAGCTCCAGAAGTGCCACTTTTAATAAGGACGAGTGTAGTGGTACCTCATGGGGCTTCTAAGCCAATGCCTTTCACACAAATTTTCATTCTGTGAAGTTTGAGGCTTCCACAGTAACTTCAGTATTTCTATGGCTGCCACCAGCTCACTTGTTGTTCTGCCTTTGGGTCACACTGGCCTAGTCTGCCCTTGTTATTGCTCATTTACCCTCGCTTTCTCAGTATCTCACCACCATCTTTCGTATTAGCTGTGTTAGATGTAGAGTTTTGTACATACTATTTATCTCATTAATCTAATACTGGATTGCCAGATTTTTATTGTGACTGAATATTGAATTTTATTAAAAATTCTTAGTCATATAGAGAGATGACTACATGGCTTTCTAAAAATCCTCTTAATTGTGTGTTACATGGCTCGTTCTGCCATGTTGCATCAGTCTTGTATCCTTGGGGTGAAACCAGTATTGTGTCAGTGTCAACTTGGACCGACTCTTGGGAACTGACTGCTAAATTTCCAATAATACTGCTGACCAGTTTTCTTCAAAGGCATTATTTAATTTTATGAAGTTATAATTAAAGCTCTTAAAAATAAAAGCAATATTCAAAATTCATTATTTTATTGCATTTTACTGTTGTTTCTGTCCTTGAGTATATTACACATGCTCTACATGTTTTTTAACTATCTGCTACAAATACTAAACAATGCTTGCTACTGTGGATTTTTTCTGTATTCTACTTCAGTGGTGTCACATTGATAGTTTAAAATCTCATGCTAGGTTAATTTGTACTTTTGAAATAGATAAAAACTACAAATCAAGGCTTGATTTATTTTGTTATTGTCTACATTTATGGACATGAAGGAGGAAAAGCTACCAATGCACTTTAAATTAAAAGTGTGTTGTAGTCATTGCTGGTATACTGTAAATAATACATAATCTTTGTCTATATGAAATCCATTAACTAATTCAGCATAGAATTCCATCATGTTACTGATTAATGAGTAAAGTCCTACCGTACATCTTCATTTTCCCTTAATTATATTCACTAATGTAAGCCAAAATATTAATCAATACTCATTAAAATTGCATTCATTCCTCATATCTCATCTACAAATAAGTTGAGTAAAAATTAAAAGAAATCAGTGAGATTGAATTTCTAATACAACATGGCATAGAAGTCCAAAAAACAACAACACGTCGCTTGAAGACTAACTTCCATCTTCTTTTTCTCCCAGTTTAACCTCAACTTCCTGTTTCTTTTTCGTGCCTGAGCCAACACTTCCCCAATCAGCTTTGGATCCAACACTTAAACCGCCAATGTGAACTCCACCCCCAACCCAACTCAATGAATTCACTGTTCCCCTGCCTCTTCCTCAAAGGGTTCTTGCATTCTCCTATAGCGTTCCTGCACCTGCAGTAAAGGCTTCTCTTACCTCTGTCCTGTCTCTCAGTTGTGTCAAAAAAAAAAAAAAAAACTTATAGTAAGGACCATTGATCTCAGTGATTTGATTTTTCTGCAACAGTAACCTTCTTGGTAAGATTCCATCCAAAACAAAATAAAATCATCCCCCCATTTTCATGGTAGTTGCATTTTTGGATAACACAAAGTACGTTAAAACCATGCAAAAGCATTTAATATTATTTTAAGATCAGGGTTAGATCTTAGGCCCAGATAACTGTGAATAGATTTTTCATGTACACAAATATAAGAGAAGACACTCAAAAGTCTTGTGGGATATGGGACAGTCTTGTGCTGTGTAGGACAGCCTTGAGCATTAGAAGACATGTAGTCACTCTGAGGAATAAGTTGTATTGCCTGCTAATTATTAGTAGTATTGCCTAATTGATATAGTTGTATTGCCTACTAATTATTAGTCTTCATTATCATCTGCAGTTCCAGCTAAAAACTGAGAGGAAAGGATGGTAAGAATGGATCAGCTATCACACAACTAATAATCTTTGACAAAGCTGCTTCGTTGGCTACACAAAGTGACACTTGTATTTTTCCCACTCATGAACA